GTAGTAAATTTGGTGATCAGCCGGTTGATGATGATGCTAATTTTCAAGATTTCAATTAGTAAACGGTTCGTCTGCGAATTCGAGTTGAAAAATATGCCCAAGATGTTTTTCGTACGTTTCTCTTCTGTGTCCTTCTTTTTCTAAATTCTTTTTCCGTGTCTTTCAAGGACTTAACCTTGACCTAACCTAAACTTGAAATGTTTAGGTTAGACTTTTAAGAAGTCGAGCTATACTTTAACGTGTTTTTACTTTCTTTGTGATGAAATACTTAAAAGTGTAATAAATTTGACGTCCGAAAATGTTAATGTGTTTTTTCGAATCTTCAAAATGGACCTTGAGAAATTCAGATTTCTAGATTTTTCGAATCAATATGTTGAATGTTTTGTATATGTGGAAATTCGAGATTCGGGATTTATTAGGATTTTCAAATCCAATGTTCAGACAATATATATTGCTGGTAATTAACACCGAACATTAATATGTTTTTCTACTCGTACCAATCTTTCAGTATCGAATGGCTAAAATGGCTATTTTAACGCATTATTGTGCAAGATGCATTTGAGATTTCTCTTATTTGTATCTTATTAATTCCTATCGAAACTGCAATAGTAATCGTAGGGTACGATAACGCGATTACTTTCTCTTTTGCGTTGATTCCTATTTTCAAAGTAAACGAAAAATCGACTCGATCAGAAACGAATCGTCGACGAACGAATTTACAGTTGGGTACCACTTGCGTAACGTGTGTAGCGTGTCTCGAGAAGTTGCTTGCACATTTCTAACGCACACGTTCTATCGCTTATTTATAGAAAATAAGGAAATCGAAGACAATATCTCTCGAACTCTCCCAAACGTCTTCAGTTACATCGTATGTAATATTTTTCTTTATATAAATTTATGTATAATAAATATAACTAATTTAAAATTTATCAGAAAGTTATAAAGTTATAAATGGAAAATATGAGAGGAACGATACCCCCCAATGTATGAAGTGAATGAACCTAACTTCGTGTTGCTAGATTTTTGTGTATTAACAGTTATGGAAGAAAAGATACATTGAGTAAATATTAATAAACGGCGAATCTAATGTACATAGAGTAACAAATCTAATTTCTTTTTTCTTTAAATTGACAATGAACATTTTGAAATAGATGTTAGAGTGATTTTAATGATTGTGAACTTACTCTCTTATGCTAATATGATTCTTTTTGTATTTCATACTTTCCTCTTAACTGTTTAATAAAATTTCAAACTGTGTTTTTTATACTTGAAAAAATATAGAGCCCGTTCGAAAGCAGCTGGAAAACTTCATGTATATAGTGAATGACATAATAATAGTAAATTTGTATTTGAAAAGATTATCTATAACAGTGTAAAATGGAAAGAAATAATTTATTTGAGAGAAAAGTACCATTTTTGTTAAGTAAATCCGAATAAAAAAATAACAAATATATACTTCTTTTTTTAATTGTAAATGTAATTTCAGCACCAATGAAGATCTACAAATAGAATGTTGTATTGTTGATAAGAATTATTTGAAATTTTAATGATATTACATCAGCATTAAATTATATATTCAAATTAAATATAGATTATATAAAAATACATTATAGAATTTTTTCGATATTTAACGAAGATACAGAACTATTTATTACTCGCTACATGTGTGATATAAGTTTTATTTTTCCTCGTGAAATGTGCACAAACATTTTTAATGGCGCAATAATCCTAAATATAGATATTTAGAATCTCCCGATACTCGACATCGATACTCGAACATCAATGTTGCTTAAACGTTATGAGAGATCTGAGTTATACTTTAGCTTAAATTGTTATATAGTTTTTTATTTTACACGAAAATATTTAAATACTCAAATACCTGATAGAAAGTACCACATTTTTTGTATTTAAATTCTTTATGTACTTTCTTTGACAGAATTATAAATAAATTAATTAAATTATAAATAAAATAATAGTTTATGAAATAGAAATAATTTACGATTATAAGCGATAATATTGAATTGATTTTCAATTAAAGAATTTTACATTAATTTTATTAAATGTTTTATTCTAACGAAGTATTCCTTAATTATTTTACAGAAAACGGCATCAACGGTGGAAATTATCCCACTATTGTGACGGTGTCAAAGGATAGAAGAAAATTTAATCAAAAGGTATGTGTGTAACGATTCGAATCGTGCGACGAAATAGTAATAATTTTTTAATGGTAATTGTATAACTAAGTAATCAAATTCATAAACAGATCTTTTTTGAATTGAAAATATTATTTTCCAAATATCATCAACTTTCTATTTTGTGAAATGTAACTAAAATCTGGCTTTTGAATTTAATAGGCGAGCGATTTCTCGGATATCGGCGATTGGCCAACTTTAGAAGCTTCGGGAGAGGTTGGTTTAAAGTTCTTTTAAACTTTCAGTTTTTGAATATTTACATTCTTTTTATGATCCGTGATTTAATTTATTCTCTTGAAAATTATACTTGGCTCTTTCAATTATTACTTTACGAGATATAGATGAACTATGCAAAAGCTAGAACTTGTAAGGTATAATTCCATATACCTGCGAGTGTAGATATTTTGCTATAGTAATATTGAATGCGACCTCATTGCGGATGCATTTGTTATCCGTGAAGCTTGCATTTGCACATTCGTCATTCGTTTCCTTAATATAATTTTCTCTCTGCGTATCGTGAGAATAAAAAATAATATTTTTCTTTAGAAGAAGACAGTTGTGACAGCGCAAAAGCAAAATAATTTGGTTGAACCAAGCAATGGCAGAGAAAGCAGCAGTAGTAATGTTATCGACAGTAGAGGGAAGGAAAACAAAGAGCAGAATCATTGTCAAGATGATAACGAAGAACACGTAGATATTAATGAAAAGAAAAAGAAAGGTAACGAGCATTGATTTATTCTCTGTTCTTGTTACGGCAGAAGATCAGTAAGAGTCATTTTAAATTGAATCGTTAACAACTTTTTTGTAGCGAGCAAGCAAAAGTGGGTACCGTTGGAAATCGATATTACAAAAAATCGAAATAAAAGAGATCGTTCTCCGAAGTATCACCATCAAAGGGAAAAGAATGGAGAAGGTATTCAATAAATATCTCGCGATCTTAAGTGTCACAGACTAAATTGACAATTCCGTTTTTTTAGCAGAAATAGATTTGTATAGAAATAGGGAACATGATAGACCAGCGTACATCACAAGAGGTGGTCGAGGTGGACGAAATTATAGAGGAAGAGGAGGGCGTGGTGGACGAGGCGCTTATCGTGGTAGTTTTAGGCAAAGACATGACCAAGTCTATATGCAGGTGATTTTACGTTCTTATTACAAAAAGTAGAAATAATCAACGACGCAAATAACACGAAGAATGATGATAAATTAAAGGGAATCTCTCAGAATTCTTTGACGAGTAACGAAAGTAGACCTGATATTAAATGTTACTTCAAGGATGAAATATTTTGAATCTTCGAACAAATTATTTTCAATTGATATATCTTTTTAGATGCATAAATTTGGACTTTTGGATCCTAATTATATGATGGCTTACATGGGGACATTTTATTTCAATAACGCAAATTTTATCAACATAAATACAACGACGCTTAAGGAATTTCTAAGAAATCAAATGTAAGTTGATCAATCGCCAGAAAAGAAACAATATACGATTCCTTTTTTAATTATAAAATTTATATTTTTACAGAGAATATTACTTCAGTGAGGAGAATCTTTTAAGGGACTTTTTTCTGCGTCGTAAAATGGATGCACAAGGATTTTTACCTATTACTTTAATTGCTTCTTTCCATCGTGTGCAGACTTTGACAACAGATGTTGGACTTGTTGTTGAAGCGATTATGGAATCTGATAAATTAGAATTAGTGGATGGGTTTAAGGTAAAACAAATACATATTTGCAGTTCTAACGATGCACGAATCACAATTCGAATTCACTTACATTATTTTGTGTATTTGGTGAAAGACTTGTGCTAGATCAAATAGAAGAGGATTCGCTGACACCATTCGAGCTTAATTTAAGTTCAATGAATGGAGTTTGAAAGTAGACCTCCTCACAAATTTATTCTAGAAAGCTTACTGATGTAATGGTTGATTGATATATGAGTTGCCAATTATTTTTGCTAGTTTTATAAAATATCAATCTCAAAATATTATTGCAAAATCTCTAAAATAATTTCCAAGAACAAATGACTAATGTCATCGTTTTATTCATTAGGTTAGAACGAAAATAGATCCTTTGAAATGGCCTATTTTGGACGCGACTGGAAATCCTGTATTCTCGGAACTGTTTGATACTTCTAATACAACCCAAAACGAAGTAATACTCTCCTCCGCGTCTGAATCCGATTTTTGTCCTGCCGCCCGACCCTTATCAACGATTCCTATTCCCCCAGTTCCTCGTGTTCTTCAATCCAATCACATTATCCCGACAATAGGAAGGCTTAGTGAATCCGAAAGCATATCCTCTTCGATTGGCGATAGTTTAAATCCTGATGTACCGGAGTTCATACCAAACGAACCTATTATATCTGATGGTAAAAGCGAACCGTTCAAGATAGAAAAACAATCGGAAGAAATAAAAAGCTTTCCACCGTCATCGAGCGACGATTCATCGCTTCTCCCGAAAAATGAATCTCTGGAACAAGAGAATAAAATATCTACAACGGCGAAGTATTCTAGTCCAAATCCTGTACCAGAAATGCAAGTTAATGGGGAATCACAGTCGGTCAATGATGTTTGGAAAGAGGTAATTTTTTTTTCGTGTATTATTAGTACCAACATTAAAATTAAATATTCGCGTTTTTTTAATCCACAGAAAAAAACACACTTCCACTTTTACAACTTATCCAAGATCTTAAATTGAACTGTACTTTTTTACTTAGACCTATAAAGAATGCACTGAATTTATAACAAAGGCGTAATAGGATGTCGTGTTACCGATTAAGTAAATTAGAATATTTGCCCGAAATGTCGGTGTATAAAAATTGCAACACAAACTGTGGATCTATTTCAAACAAGTTATTACTATTAGTAATAAGTGATAACTGAGTTCATGAAAATGTTAGGTAAGGCGAAGGATGAAACCGTCACATAAGGAGAAAAACGAAGAAAAAGAAAAAATTGATAACGTTAAAAGTGAAGAGAGAGAGGAATTAGACTTTCAATTTGACGAGGAACTCGATACTCCACCTCCAACTGGCCGGCACAATGCATTTTCTGAATGGTATGCTATTATTTGTCTGTAATTGTTTTTATGAATATTGTTCATTGTATACGTGTGTTTATAACTTAAGAGTATATAGTATTTATAAAAAAAAATGTAAAAAAGTAAGAAATAAAATAGCAATCTCTAAATTAGTTTTCAAATGGAGGATTAAGTTAAAATAAAAATGAATATTTCCTATTTTAAAGCAAACTTCGTGTCTTCTTAGAAAGAAATTACGAATTGCTAGTGCAACGTTGTGTTTTTACTTTGCTATATACTTTTAAATTGCCATTTTTTCAGGTTACTCTGTATTTATGAAAGTTAACGTATGATATGTTGCAGGTCTGAAGATGATGAAGATTATGAATTATCCGATAGAGATGTCAATAAACTTTTAATTTTTACACAAACGACAGTACCTATGTCAACGCGTATTCCAAAACACGAGGGTCATGATAGGACTGGTGATTGGACAACTAGAGTAAAAATGACCCAAGATCTTGAGCAAGCTATTAATGATGGATTATACTACTATGAAGAAGACTTATGGATTAAAGACGGTCAAAGAGTAAGTTTGAACCATTTTAAAAAATACTTTCCTTGCATATATAAGTTCAAATTATTGTATTCCTCGTAGTATGGATCTTCTTCTTCAATTGGAAATTATAAAACTGTCAACGTGATTAGTCAAGAAGATTTTGAAAAGATGGCTCCTAAAGCGCCTAAAAAGACTAATCCAGAAGTTCCTCCTCCACCACCAGCTGCAATAGATGATATAGAAATGTCTCATTCTCTTCCAATGCAGGTACTTTTTCATTTCAATCTCATTTATTTCATTCATCTTTTACTTCGTAATTTATAATGCAATCGTATTTAATGTAATCGTTGTATTAACAGATGTCAGCAACTACGGATAATCAAGAAAAAAGAGATCGTCGTATAGACAGAAGTCGTTGGAATGATAAATCGAGAAGAGACAGTAGGAGTGGTAGAAGAGGAGTGGTTCCACGTTTCTTTGCGGTAGTAAAGGATGAACCTTCGGTAGATCCTAGAACACCGCGCAAACGAAAAACACGACACAGCAATAATCCTCCTGTTGAACATCATGTTGGTTGGATTATGGACGTTCGGGAGCATCGACCGCGTACTTATTCTACAGGGTAAGTTCATGTCGCCATGGATGAATTAAATGACAATTTTAAAAATTGAATTTAATAACTCTATCTTTTTTATATTCCGTAGAAGTAGTACAGGAACAAGTCCAAATGAAGGTTATCTTGCGAGTAGTTACGGAAGTGCACCGCAGTCATTGCCTACTTTCCATCATCCGAGTCATGCTCTTTTAAAAGAAAACGGTTTTACACAGCAGGTTTATCACAAATATCATTCACGTTGCTTAAAAGGTAAAATGAATTTTTTTATTAAATTATTTTTATTAGTATTAGTATTCGCAATATTTAAATTATTTAAATCTATATTTCTCTATGTAAGTATATATAATGATGATATATTTTATTTTTGTCTTCTTTTCCCGACTGAGGTACATTATGAAGAAAAAAATGGATCTGAAAACGCCTTATAGTGTACATAAAATATAATTCGTTCGGATACACGAGTTTTAATCGTCTTCATGGTATTTCAGAACGCAAAAGACTTGGAATTGGACAATCTCAAGAAATGAATACGCTTTTCCGTTTTTGGTCATTCTTTTTGCGGGAAAATTTCAATCGTACCATGTACGAAGAATTCAGGACTGTAGCCAAAGAAGATGCTTCCGAAGGTTATCGATATGGTTTGGAATGTCTTTTCAGATTCTATAGTTATGGTTTAGAAAAGAGATTTAGACAACACTTGTACAAAGATTTCCAAGTCGAAACGATACAGGATTATGAAAGTGGTTAGTAATTTTCTTTTTAAAGCATTTAATTTGATGCGCACGATAGGTTGTTTAGCTATAATAATTATTGATAGCTAAACGGTAAAGCTGTGCTAAAGTAAATGAAATGTTCAGTTGATACCACGAGACTATTTTGTCTCGTGTGTGGTTTTAACATGGCAACAAGCATTTATTAATTAAATAGAAAGCCATTATTCATTTTGAATATACTGTACTCCATATCTTATTTTTCGTTTCAGGTCAATTATATGGATTAGAAAAATTTTGGGCATTTCTGAAATATTACAAACATTCTGACCAACTTCAAGTAGACCTTAAATTACAAGAATATTTATCCAAGTTTAAAAGCATCGAAGACTTTAGAGTGGTTGAGGTAAATTTTTTATTTAAATACGAAAGGTTATTACGTTTTATAAAGTAACATTATGCCAATGTTTTCAATGATGTTGCAGCCTCAAATAAATGAAATGCTGCAAACATTTGCCGCAAATTCACGATCTCAGGCCGCGAAAAGGCGAAACAGAAGTGTATCCGAAAGTGCAGGTGATGGTGATGCTTCATCTTCCAATAGAGTTCGTCGACTATCGGGTGGTTCCAGTGCTGTAACACTGCCAACGTCAAGTTCTGAAAACAATCCTGCCGCACAGAAGTCTCGGGTGGATTCGGTGAATCTTTCACAACTTCGTAACAGAGCCAATTCGTTTGGATCTGGGCGATTAAGCCATCCCAGAAGACGGAACGATGCTAGTTCTTTTTCTTCAAACAGTCAACGAGATTTAAGTAAACAGCAGCAGCAATCACGAAACAGACAAAGTTCCGGCTTGTGTGCGAAGACTCAAGAAGTGAGTGGCAAGCCTCAAAACACCAGTAGGGATCGTTTACAGACGATCTCGAAGTCCGAGCAGACGAAATCAATCACAATTAAGACGGATAGCACATCGATTTCTCAAAACTGAGATCAACTCGAAAACCGAAGGGTAAGTGCATAAGCACTTACTTGATTTGCTAAAATGGATATGTACGTTGTTTCTGAAATAGAAATAATACTTGTTCTAAGAAAATGAAGCATCCTGTTTGAAAAAGTAATAGAGAAGTACGCCATGTATGTGGAAATAGAATGTTTCCTTTTCTTAGAACAAGTATTATTCCTATCTCAGAAATGTAAATGTAAATGTAAAATTATATGAAAGAAAGAGCACAAAACTCTCTGTACATAAAACGATGAATCAGTCAGATCTTTGTTGTTCGTTACGGAAGAATAACGAAACTATAGACAGAGATGGTACCGAATATTATGTATATTTATAAATATAAGGTACTTTCTCTGAGAAAAATTCATCGAGTTGTCTTTAAGGTAGTTCATTAAGGTTACATTTATAAATGTATATAATATTCAGCTATTTTTGCTTATATCGAATTAAACACGGCTCAGTTTATCCATTAAGATATTTTCGCAAAAAATTGCAATAAGAAAAAGAAAAAAGCCGCCTACGAGAATGAACGAGTACATAAAGAAAATCCATGCATGATAGTCCACTATGCTTTCCACTATACATAAATTGTCCACTATATATAAATTTTCTTTACAATACCTGTATTCTAATACCATGTTCCTACATTTATTATAATTATAATTTCTACGTATTCTAATTTTTTAATATATAACATTTTATATAATGTAGTAAGATGACGTATTGTGTATATAGGGTGTAACGGGTTAGTTAATATGGAAAAATAAATCGATAAGACTTATCGAAAGGACAAAGATTAAAATTTTTTTTCGTTCGTATTTAAAGACTCGAGTTTGAAAATTCATTTGAAAATGCACACGCACAGAGTTAATCTCAAATTGAACAGCTCATATCTCAAATTTGACTTTCTTGCAAACGAAGCTCCAAAAGAAAAGATTTTCATTCTACATTTTTGCTTGTTTATACACGTCGAACATGCTCTTGCCCTCATTGTATAGCTCTTATTCAATTGGAAATTAATTAAGTGCACATATATTTAATAAATTTTTTAACTCGATTTTTGCAGAAAATGAAATTTTCTCTACAATACCTGTATTCTAATATGTTGTTGTAATTTGACAAAAACTTTATTTATGTTTTTGAATAATATTGAGTTTTATATGAAACTTTTACACATTATTTCATTGTTTGATCCATGATAGAT